CCAGTTTTTCTGTTCTATCTTTACATGTGTTCAACACATGAATACTTACTATTGTGTTACAATTGCCTACAGTAGTCAGTACATTAACTTGCTATACCTGTTTGTAGTTTAGGAGCAATGGTCTATACTATATGGCCAAGATGTATAGTAGGCTGTTCCTACTAAGTACACTCTATGATGTTTGTACATTGACAAAATTGCCTAACAATGCATTTCTCAGAACATATCCCTGCTGTTAAGTATCACATGGCTATATTTTATTGTAGACTACAGTCATCTTTCCATGTAGTAAAGCTCAAAATCACTGAGTCATAAATTTTGTGCCTTTTCACCTATAATTCAGCATGTTCATCCCCATCCCTGCCTTTGATAAGCGTCATTCTATTGTTATTATCATTTTGGTACTGAGGATTGAATTCATGGGTACTTAACCACTGAGCCATGTTCCCAGCCCTTTTAAAATATTTTATTTGTAGACAGGGTCTTGCTGAGTTGCTAAGTGCCTTGCAAAGTTTCTAAGGCTGGCTTTGAACTCTCAATCCTCCTGCCTCAGTTTCCCGAGCCGCTGGGATTACAGGCGTGCACCACTGTGCCTGGCATCATTCTACTTTTTATGAGTTCAACTTTATTAAATGTCATATGTAAATAAGATGATTCAATATTTATCTTTCTATACCTGGCTTATTTCATTTAGCAAAATGTCCTCCAGATACATACACATTGTCACAAATGATGGAATCTCCCCTTTTAAAAGGGTGAATAGTATTCTATTGTGTATCTCTCTCTCTCTCTCTCTCTCTCTCTCTCTCTCACACACACACACACACACACACACACACACACACGACCACATTTTCTTTACCTATTTCCTGTTCATTTGTTGGTAGAGACCTAGGTTGTTTTCATATCTTGGCTATTGTGAATAATGCTCTATCACAGCAATGAACAACCCAGGAGCAAAGATATTCCTTCAACATAATGATTTCAGTTCCTCTGGCTATACATCTAGAAGTGTGATTACTGCTTTGTGTGCTGCTTCTATTTTTGGTTCTTTGAAGAACCTCCATATTATCTCCCATAATGGTCGTATTAATTTATATTCCTGGGGCTGGGGATGTGGCTCAAGCGGTAGTGTGCTCGCCTGGCATGCATGCGGTCCGGGTTTGATCCTCAGCACCACGTACAAACAAAGATGTTGTGTCTGCCGAAAACTAAAAAATAAATATTCAAAAAAAATTCTCTCTCTCTCTCTCTCTCTTTCTAAAAAAAAATTATATTCCCACCAACAATGTACAAAAATTCCTTTTTCTTTACATCTTCCCTAGTACTTGGTACCTTTTGTCTTTTTGATACTAGCCATTCTAACAGATATAAAGTGATATCTCACAGTGTTTTTTTATGGGCATTTCCCTGATAATTAGTGATGCTGAACAGTTTTTCATATATCTGCTCTCCCTTTATTTGTTTACTTTTCTATACACAAAAGCTTTTTAATTTGATGCCATTTCGTTTTTGCTATTGTTGCTAGTGCTTTGGGAATCATGTCCAAAAAATTGATTGCCCAAGCTAGTGTCAAGAAGCTGTTCCCCTGTTTCCCCCGCCCCATTTTCTTCTTGCAGTTTTACAGAATCAGTTCTTATGTTTAAGTTGTTAATCCATTTTGAGTTCATTTTTGTAAATGAAATAAGGTTCTAATTTCATTCTTCCACATGTGGATATCTAGTTTTCCAGGATCATTTGCTGTGGTTGGAATATGATTTGTCACTTGCAGAACTCAGGTTGAAATTTGATTGTCATTGTGATGGTATTGGGAGGTGGGCTCTTTAAGAGGTAATTGGGTCTTGAATGCTCAACTCTCATAAATGGATAGTCCATTCATGAATTTATGGATTCATGGATAAATGGGTTACTGCAGAAATGTTATAAAAGCCAGCCTTTCTTTGGCTTGCTGTTTCTGTCTCCTCATGTGGTGCCCTTCACTATGTTACGATGCAGCAAGAAGCCCTTCCTGGATGCCAGGGCCAAACTGTTAGACTTACAGTCTTAACCATGAGGTAAATAAAGTTTTATTCTTTATAAATTATTTGGTTTCAAGTATTTTATTATAGCAACAGAAAATGGACTAAGACACCATTTATTATAGGGACTAGCCTTTTTTCATGGTATGTTCTTATACCTTTGTCAAAAATCAGTTGAATATAAATGTGTGGGTTTGTTTCTGGGTTCTCTATACTTTTCCATTGTTCAATGTGTCTCTTTTTGTGCCATTACCATACTGCTTTCACAATAATTGCTTTATAAAATGTTTTGAAATTAGGGAGTGTGTTGTCTCCAGTGTTGTTCAGTGCTCAAGAGTGTTTTAGATATTTGTGCATTTGATGTAACAGAAAACAAAAGGTTCATTAATATAATTTTAGATTTCACTCCTCTTCTTTGTAACCGCCTATCTCTCTGATGTCAGATTTTCTCATATTATCTAACCAGAACAATTTAGATTGAATGTGGAAGCACATGTAAGAATATAGCTGTCCTGTGTGAATAGTCAAAGAGATTCGACAAAGTGTAAAACAATTTCCCTGTTCTCCTTTTTTTTGTTTTGAAATTTATAGTTATTTTTAAATAAATGTTTTGTTTTTATTAATATTAAAAATGAATAAATATTTTAATTATCACTTTTAATTTCTAAGATGGTAAGTAATGAAGGTGTAAACTATAAAACTCAATAATTTTTAAAAGTGTAAAGGGTTCCTAGATCAAAAAGTTTGAGAATCATAGCCTAAGACATCCAAGATAAGAGGAAAAGTGAGGCCAGAGGTGTAGGCATGTGGCATCTCACATTTGGCTAATGAAGAGCTCTCTTCTCACTGGGTTGTGCTGTATTCTTGTTTTGTTCTCTTTAATACTAGCATTTCCATAAAAGATGCTTTTTCCTCCATATTGAATCATCGATATACATTCCTCTCTCTGTAAATAAATGTAGTAAACAGAACCCTACAATGTAATATTAACAACTAAATCTCTCAAAACTATCTCTGTTCTGACTTTACTGTAATCAATACAACATGTAAAACACAACTGTATCTTAATTATGAACTATAATAGAATAATAATTTTGGTTCAATGGTGAGTCACCCAAGATGAAGTAATTAGAAAGTTTTACCAAGAACTGACTCAAAGATGATACAAAATATCTGATTTACTTTTTTAAAAAAAATGATTAGTTAAATGACTTTTGTACTTTTCCTCAGTACTTTATCAAGGTATAATTTAAGTATAGTAAAATGTGCAACTGATTCTTTACAAGATTTTGACAAGTAGCTTTCAAAGTTGCAAGTGGTTTGTGATAGTATGCACATGCAAGATGAGAGGAGCAAATTTGAGAATATCAGTTTAAAAAAATAAAACGAAGTGATCTTGGGGAGAGATCAGTTGACAGAATTCATGCTCTGAAATCCTATGTATTTATTAGAACTAGGGCACTCATTTAATTCTTAGTTCTTTAACTTCCAGGTAAAGAAGGAAGTCAAAAGTTTAATGATTACTTAAAAAACTGATCCATAAGAAACAAATTGATTGTTCAAAAAGAACAAGTTTGTCTTGGTATAGAATCAAGAGTAGAATTACTGTTATTGTTTCTTTTAAAGTGGACTTAGTACAGTGTAATTCACAGTGTACTCAACATCCTTACAGTGAAATCTAACAGCATTCCATTTAGGCTGTTTCTTTAATGTCCTTCAATATGGGCCCATGACATGGCTCCATGTCATTGGGGAAAGTAACTTCTCAAGGTCTTATTAGTTTCCTTTCTTTCTTTTATTAATTTTTTTGTAGTTGTGTATGAACAGCGCGCCTTTATTTTATTTGTTTATTTTTATGCGGAGCTAAAGATCAAACCCAGTGCCTCACATATGTTCGGCAAGAACTCTGCCACTGAGCTACAGCTCCAGCCCTATTAGTTTCCTTTCTAATATGACAATAATGTTTACCCTTCAAGCATTTTGACATAATAAAGATAATATAGTGAGTACTCAATAAATTATAATTATTGTTCTTTTGTTACAGTAGCTGTGACAGGCAATGTGATGTGATCCAGGTATGGAGTTTTCTGGTGACCTTATGTCAGAAATGGATGTTGTAATGTCCAAAGAATGAAGGTCCTGCATTTTTAAAGGAAATATTTCATATATAATAGTACTTTTCTTAGCTTAAAAAATTTGAGGGCTAGTATAAAGTTTTACTGCCTCAAAATTGCCTATTATTTGTATCAAGTCAAATGAAGAATCACATGATTTGAGAGTTATTTAAGAAATAGGGGTCTTCCAAATATATGTGTTTGAATAGAAAGTCATAGCACCTAAAGAAATGACTGTAGAGAGGTTTGAAAATTTCCTCCAAAATAACTTTGGGTTTGTTCCAACACAACAGAAGAGCTGATGACAGAAATTCCAGACTTGTGACATGAACTTTAACTCCAGATACCCATCTCAGCTAGCACAGTTTTATGTACAAATAAAACAGGCAAGACTACTGTCACTGGTAATCCTCTTAGAGGAAAGAGTAATTTTTTTTTCTTCAGACCACAATATTTTCTTCTGGAGTGTTCTTTCAACTATCAGTCAAGTCTCTATCAAAGGAAAGAAAAAACAAATTTATTAGGGTTAGGTAAATTCTCAGTCAATGAAGGTTGAGTTAGGCCTGGACTATATAAACTTTTCAATTTAAACAGAGGAGTAGATTAGATTGTAGTAATTGCACAAGCATTCCACAAGGATGACTTGCTTTGTTAGTGGTCTTTTAAAATCAGCTATCAGAGGAACCTATCAGGATTTTGATGTTTTAAATATTTGGAGTCTTTGTTAAGAGTAGGATTTTCTTTCATTATTAACCCCCTGAGAATTTGACTTTAGCAAATTGTGCAGTTGCCACACATTTTCAACATCATTTAAAGCCACCTTGGGTTATCTACAGAGGACTAACCAAGATTTATCCTGTATCTGCAGACTGCTGAAGCTAGAGCCGATCTCCCCTGTCTCCACCGGGAGAACCACAGGAGAAAGGCCCAGGTTCTTCCTGCCTGAACTAATCCAGTGGGAAGATCATGGTCATAAGAATCTGAGTCCACTAGGTTCTTTAGGTATGTGTTGAACTAATCAATAAATTAAGACTCAACTATATATTCTAGTCTCCAATAGTGTTGTATTTCATATTAGAAATTTTCATTTCGATCACTGTTAGATTGGAATTTCAGGGTTTTAAATAAATCTCTCCTTTCATTCTTATTTATTTCTTCTTTTCCAAATACCAAGGTACTTCTTATTTTATTTGGAAGCCCTTGTGATATATTTTGGTTTAAACTGGTTCTTAAAAAAATCAGTTATAAAGAGGTAAAATATTAAAATATCAATCTTATTTTCATGGTTAAGATTTATAATTTCTCATAGGAAAACTGGATGACTGTGTGTGTGTGTGTGTGTGTGTGTGAGAGAGAGAGAGAGAGAGAGAGAGAGAGAGAGAGAGAGAGAATGTGTGTGTGTGAGTGTGTGTGTGTATGTGTATATTTCCTTTATTACTCACCACTTGATGGACACTTAGGTGGTTTCTGCTTCTTGGTCATTGTGAATAGTGCTACAGTGAACATGGGAGTGCAGGTGTCTGACACATTAATTTCATTTCTTAATTTACATTCCCACCAACAGTCTGCAAGCATTCTTCTCTTTTCTCCACATCCTTATCAGCACTTGTTATCTTTACTCTTTTTGATATAAGCCATTTTTACTGGAGTGAGGTGATACTTCGTGGTTTAGATGAACTATGCGTGATTTTTGACATACACTATTTCTTCTCTATAATATGTGGAATCACGAGCATACCATTGTAGAGAGTGATTGGGAAGGGTAATCCTCCTTTTTTTTTTTAAGTGACTATAATTTACCCATTTCATTTGCATTTGGGATAGAGTTTTGGTTAAGGATCCCTTTGTTAGGCTCAGTCCTCTGCTTGTCTTTTTATTTTTATTTTTGTCTGTGAGCAGTCAGCTAAATGCACTGAAAAGCCGAGAAAGAAAAGCCTTGTGGGTTCATGCAGGGGCACATTGGTATCTCAGTCTCTCTTTCTGCCTGGTGTCTGCATCATTTTTTATGATCTATTTAAGAGCGGCTTCAGATTCCATAGTGGATGTAAGATGATTATTTTTACTCCGTGATTTTTAGTTATATATTAAGTAGGTAAGATAAATGTTATATAAAATCTAATGAACAGACACTTCTCAGAGGAGGACATACAATCAATCAACAAGTACATGAAAAAATGCTCACCATCTCTAGCAGTCAGAGAAATGCAAATCAAAACCACCCTAAGATACCATCTCACTCCAGTTAGATTGGCAGCCATCATGAAGTCAAACAACAACAAGTGCTGGCGAGGATGTGGGGAAAAGGGTACACTTGTACATTGCTGGTGGGACTGCAAATTGGTGCAGCCAATTTGGAAAGCAGTATGGAGATTTCTTGGAAAGCTGGGAATGGAGCCACCATTTGACCCAGCTATTCCCCTTCTCGGTCTATTCCCTAAAGACCTAAAAAGAGCATGCTACAGGGACACTGCTACATCGATGTTCATAGCAGCACAATTCACAATAGCAAGACTGTGGAACCAACCTAGATGCCCTTCAATAGACGAATGGATTAAAAAAATGTGGTATTTATACACAATGGAGTATTACTCTGCATTAAAAAATGACAAAATCATAGAATTTACAGGGAAATGGATGGCATTAGAGCAGATTATGCTAAGTGAAGCTAGCCAATCCCTAAAAAACAAATGCCAAATGTCTTCTTTGATATAAGGAGAGTAACTAAGAACAGAGTAGGGTCGAAGAGCATGAGAAGAAGATTAACATTAAACAGGGATGAGAGGTGGGAGGGAAAGGGAGAGAGAAGGGAAAATGCATGGAAATGGAAGGAGACCCTCAGAGTCATACAAAAGTACATACAAGAGGAAGTGAGGGGAAAGGGAAAAATAATACAAGGGGGACAAATGAATGCCAGTAGAGGGGGCAGAGAGAGAAAAGGGGAGGGGAGGGGAGGGGAGGGGGGATAGTAGAGGATAGGAAAGGCAGCAGAATACAACAGACACTAGTATGGCAATATGTAAATCAATGGATGTGTAACTGATGTGATTCTGCAATCTGTATATGGGGTAAAAATGGGAGCTCATAACCCACTTGAATCAAAGTGTGAAATATGATATATCAAGAACTATGTAATGTTTTGAACAGCCAACAATAAAAAATTAAAAAAAAAATCTAATGGACTAAATGAGGAGAACAGGAAATGCATTGGTATAGGCTTCTTGCAGGGAACAATATCTAAATGGCAATCTAAACTTTTAGGTGAAATAGTCACATAACTCTTGTAAATGGAATTGAGCAAATAAGAAAAACATTGCTCTATTCTAAAAACATACCTAAATTATCTACCATGGAATCAGATTTTGGCTTTGAAAAGTTTTTTCTTTTTAATTTATTTTTTAGTTGTAGTTGGACACAATACCTTCATTTTATTTATTTTTGTGTGGTGCTGAGGATCAAACCCAGAGACTCATATGTGCTATGTGAGCACTCTATCACTGAGCCTACAACTTCAGCCGGGCTTTGAATGTTTTTACATTTATGTTGTCCCATTTCTAACTTTTTTTTTTTTTTTTGGCTAGAAGAGGCAAATTGAAATTCAGACAGCAAGCTATGATTTGTCCACTCCTAGTTCTTCTATCTGTGCTTTAAGAGGAAATATTTGGCTTATAGCCAATTTTCTACCTTCTTTGGACATCATCCAGCTGTGGGTGCTGTAGTCTGTCTCTTCCTGAGATAAATTGGCAACCCTGCTTACCAGTCAGTTCCAGCCATGCTGGCTTTTGCTTCTAACAGCTAAGTCTGATAGTGTTATGTGAAGCTGTATAAAATAGAAGATACTGATCTGGGCCAGAAATTTAAAGGAAAAAAGTGCTAAATAATTTTTCCCTTTTGTTTTAAAATTTCATGATGTTTGTATATAACGATTTTGAAGTTTAACTTCTCAGAAAGAGTGGCAGAATTTTTTCTGTGGATTCCTAAAATAGATTTTTATGGAGCAATGTCTGTGCTCTCTGGAATTCTCTCAAGCTTAATTCCCATTTCTGTCCTATAGTAATTTTAAACTTTTTATTTTTTGAGGCAGGGTCTTGCTAAGTTGCGTAGGGGCTTGCTGAGTTGCTCAGGCTGATCTTGGACTTGAGATCCTCTTGCCTTAACCTCCTGAGTTGCTGGAATTACAGGCATGTGTCACCATGGCTTTAATTCTTTTTTTAAAATTATATATTATACTAATTGGTACTTACTAGATGTAGTCAATAATATTTATTAAATGTCTTAATTATTTAGGTCATTGTGATACATAAGACTTTCTGCTTGTCAGGTATATAAGGTATAAAGTCACACACACACACACACACACACACACACATATATATATTATATATGCATGTTTATTAAAATTTTTTTAAATTATGAAAACATCCCAATATTTCATATTAAGTTGAGAAATGGGAGACATGATAAAATGACTTTATTGATATGACCAAAGATAATGAAAAGAGTTTGATGGAGCTAAGAAGTGAAAATCAAGAATGTAGTTAGTATTTGGTATTTTTATGAAATTCTTTTTCCATTACAATTCATAGCATAGAAGAAACCATAACTTATTTGGTGTATTTTACTTGTAATTGTTCAATAAATGCCTGTTAAATTAAAAGCAAGTAGAGAAACATGAATTGGAAAAGTCTGTTTTATATTAAAGTGGGTAAGAGTATATAGTATGGAGAGCTGATCTACTTAATTAAAAAAGAAAATCTGCTATGTTAAGCTCTGTGCTTTATTCATATTGCTCAGAATGATACTGCCTTTCCAATAAAAATTCAAAAGCAAATACTTAAAAATATAAGACATAATGTAGTAGGCATTGTAACAGTGGGAATGAACGTGTGTTAGCTTTTCATTGTTGTGATCAAAACACCCGACAAGAACAACTTGAAGGAGGAAAGATTTATTTTGGATACAAATCAGTAGGTAGAGCTTAGAATATAAAGAGAAGCCCCTTTGATATCCAATGTGTAGATTTGCATAGGAACTATTTGACTCCTTCTCTGCCGAGTTCCAAGATGGTAGGAAACACTGATGACAGTGGCAAATTTGCCATTCAGAAGCCAACATGGTATAGTGTAAAGACTTGGAGAGTTAACAGACTTGTCTAATTCTTTAACAAGTCATTGAATCTCTCTCTGAGTCTTAGTTTTCTCATCTGTAAAATGAATCAATAAAGCAACTTATGAGGACAAAATGAAATAACTATCTAAACAGTGGTTCTCAAACTTGCCTGCACATATAAATCACACAGGGAGCTTTACTAAGGTCTTACACCCAGGCTTCAGTCCAGACAATTATCTCAGAAAATTTGTGGCTGGGACCACCACATCAGTATTTTTAAAAAGTTCATTTGGTTTAGTCTATGTTGAAATTCTTGGTCATAAAGCCTATAATGAAATATGTGTAACATGGTAGGCACTCGATACACATCTAGTTCCCTGAAACACACACAAATGACAGCCTTTAAGAGTACTTAGTATATCATGTAGAAAATGTATTTGCTTTGTTTTTACTATTGTTCTGTCAGATGATGGAATAACACAGGACTGAGATAAAAAGAGAGAAACTGCTTATTAGAGAGGAGAATGGCTACTTTTATTTTCAGACGCTATCTGTAATTATTTCAATGAATTATAATTATTTCAATGAAGCAAGACAGAAAATTTAAAAATATTTTAATTAAAATTTAAACCTTAATGGCTCACAGGTTGGGGATAACCTTAATTGATACAGAGAGATACTTGAAACATATAACAATCTTAATTTTAGCAAAGATATATTCATATTACATAGATCATGTCTACATAATAAGTGTTCTACATAATATGCAGACATGTAGATGTATGTTTTCTTTATAATAGTTGGTTGACTTTTAGTATTTGTGTGAAATATCGAAACCAGAGTTGAATCTTATAAAGACTGACATGTATTGTTAATATGATAATTTGCCTCCTGGT